GATCGAAAACAAGCCACTCTGCAAAGCAATGTTGGTTGACCGAGCCTCATAAAGTCCCTTTTTTTTGTTGTAAAGTGCGCCTTGAAAGTGAATTTATTATCATGGGCTCATCATTCTCCATCGTAAATCAAGCTTGGGATGCACATAGAGCTCAACCAATCCGAAGCGATAGTAGCTGAATCAATGAGAGGACTGAGAAACTCACTCCCATCACCTGCAGTAGAGAATGTGTTTCGGAGGTGAATCTGCATTCTGATTAGCTAAAAGAACCACCAGCGATTTTACTGGTGCGTGCGTGTGTGTCATCGATGCCTGCACTCAAAGTTCATAAGGCATTTGATGAAATAATATTAGCATGGCAACACATCGAATCTGTAGTCTGATTGGACAAAAAAAAAACAAAGACTATTGGAAATCAATTATAATTTCATTTAAGTTGCAAATGCTTCTGAGTGTTTGGGCGTGCAGAGAAGAATTTGAAGCAGGTAGCAGGAATAGTGTACCAGAACATCTGTACCAAATATGAACTAGAGGTCCAAGAATCAAGATGGGAGACACTTCCAAAGCAACAACCCAGCCGGCCAAGATTTTGTGGGACTTCCAGATCCAGACTGACTAGCCTGACATATTGTGGGTGTGTAAACATCAGAAGACAGCAGTTGTGATGGATCTCGCAAGTTATGTCATCAACATCTAGAAAATGGAACATGGAAAAAAAAAATATAAAAAAAAAAAATCCTCGTCTCGCCCCTCGGGTGGTGTTCGTCCCTCATTCAGCTCGGGTCCTCTACCAGAGGCCAGGAAGCTTGAGGATTCTGCGCAGTATCCTTGCTGTTCCGAGCACTGCACATTTCTGGACTGAGATGTCCGATGTTCCCGGGATCTGTTGCAACCACTCATCTAGTTTGGGGGTCACTGCCCCGAGTGCTCCGACCACCACAGGCACGACTGTCACCTTTACCTTGCAGGCTCTCTCCAGCTCCTCTCTGAGCCCTTGGTATTTCTCGAGTTTCTCGTGTTCCTTCTTTCTGATGTTTCCATCACTTGGGACCGCTACATCCACTACAACGGCTTTCCTCTGCCCTTTATCTATGATCATATATACACACACACACACACACACACAATAAATATTCCCACCTACGGACTTCTGTCAAACGGAAATTCGCTCACCGGAATAAAAACCTATGCATTAAAATTTTGCCTACGGTATTACATTAACCATCGATTCATAACAACGGAAGTTCCTGAAACCATACGGAAGCCCGCGGTGGCGCAAACTCAAGCAAGTCCCGCTTGATACTGTGGAATAACTGTCCGAGCCGCTATTTACTCACATAGGATCCAAAATGGCGACGTGTAAGTGACGCTCTTGGCTTGAGTTTTACTGGAATCGCAAAAGATTTTTTATTTCATTCATTTACATTTCCATCCTCTAGATCAGGGGCCCCCAACCTTTTTTACCCCACGGACCGGTTTATGTCAGACAATATTTTCAGGGACCGGCATTTAAGGTGTGGTGGAAATAATACAACAAAATAATATGGTATGAGCTGCATGAAAACT